ATATAAACTTGCTCAGTTTATTCACTGAATTGGAGTGATTTGTGAACCAGGTTGCAGAAGTCAGGCAAAAATAGCTAATTTGGAAATATTCTTCAGCTACAAATCTATGTTAAGTAAATAAACCTCAATTGTGAAAATGCAGTGAAGTATAGTAAGCAGAAAACAAACATGCAAAATTCTAAGTATATGTACTAAGTATACGTAAGGCCTATATGAAGACTAGTGTCAAAATGAAAGTAGAACAATTATAAAAAATATTACATGTTGATAAGCAATAGTATATGTTAATATAGGCAAATTGTGATCTTTCCAGTTATCTGTCCTCCACTCTTTCTCTCGCAATGCAACGCAATCATCCGAACTCCTCCTCCCACGTCACCAAAACTCCTCCACCCCTCTAGATCCCTGTGTTTGAAACGACTGCTCAGTGAGGTCCTGCAAAGTAAATATAGTTACTGTCATACTCAACTTGTAATTAGGGGCTTCACTGCAGCATTGGGACATGGGACATTTACGGTTAAGCCTGGATTTAATATAAGGATTAGAAACTAATTTAGCCTCTCTCAATTCTTATTCTAACCCTAGAAGTAAGGTTAAAATTAAGCATGGATTTTTTTTTTCTTTCCTCATTGTCGGTAATCTGTAAATAAAAAATCACTCCCTAAATCTAACCCTAATTTTAACCCTCACTTTAGCTCTAAATTTCTAATGTTTCAGTACTTCAGCGAAGCCTCAAACAATTCATCCAAGAAAGCTGAGTGAGACAATAACTTTACTTAATTTGCATGACCTTACTGTGCACGACCTTTTCAGACACAGGGATCCCGATTGAGGAGGAGTTCCGATGACGAGGGAGGAGGAGTTCCGATAATGAGGAAGGAGGCGTTCCGCTGACTGCCAAGCTGTGACGGGAAGAATTAAGTGCAAATAACAGGAAAGATCCTCTAATTGTATCGGGGTTAAGGTTTCATTGGTCATATAATTTTAATTTAACATATATTATGGTTTCAGATACAAGTGGTTAATTCATATGTTTCCTAGAGGCTGGGGTGCTGTGTTTCTGGAGTTCTGTAAAGCCTGACTGTTTAGGACACTGTCAGTACCCAGGTAGCACTTTTTCCTAATAAACAAATAATTCAGTGACATCATCAAAACAGACAGGATGATGAAATTATATAAATGCAAATATCTTTTAAAATGAAGTGCGATGGTCATTACAGCTTCTCTAACAACATATCAAAAGTTATTTATTTTTTATTTTTCTAATTTGGTTTTGCGTTCACTGTCCTTGTAAAAACAGACAAGGGAGATGAAAATAAACCATTCAAAACACAGAAATTAAATATGCTCCTCAATGTGCTTATCAGTTTGATTAGATTAATGTACCACTTGACTCATATGACAAGAAGCTTCCAATTATATAAGGGAGAAAAACCACGGACACATGACATGATCAACCCAGCAAACATTCTCAGATTTAAAGTGACATTTCATTTACCATAACTATTAGCTAGGCTAATTGCAATGGTTATGATGCGAGGAAGTCCTCCTGTCTTCTTACACATACTTGCTTACAAATTTATTCAGATTTTTTTTTCACCACAGCTATTAGATTGCTCCTTCTTCATTTCATTTATAATTTCACTTTTGCAGCCTGAATTTTCTGTACAATTCTCAAATGTGACTGAAAGTGCATGCCATGTAACTCCTGGAATCTGATCAGACCCAAAAAACAGAATAAGTGGGTTTCACTGTTGCTGTGTGACGGAGCAAGTGCAGAAGATGCAGGGAGTTTAAAGGTGAGTATCTTTTTAAAATTTTATTATTTTTTAGCATCTTTTTAATGTATTCTTAATATAATGCATTAAAAATAAGTGTCTCTTCCATCCAAGAATGTTCATTTAAGTGACCAATCTGTATTGGCACTAATATGTTAAACTTGACCATATCAACCAAACTTAGGTCCCCTGAGGTTATAGCTCCGCTATAAACATGAGTCTGATCCATGTACATTCTGGACATAGCTCTCCTCGGATTCCCTGTTATTTTTCCCATGGTGTAAGTCACAAAGCAAATAAACCAAAGATCCAAAAACGTCATTACATTCCTCTTTCTTTAAATATCTTCTTTATATTTAGCTTTTCCTTTTTTGTCGGCCATCATTTTTCAAATTGAAAACCTAATCTGATGATGTACTGTTTATACACTCAAGTACACTGTACGGTGAATTAAAAAAAGCAATTATTTAAAGAGTTTTAATATTTTCACAAATGGTCAACTATCACCTCATAGATCATTGAGGTTTTATTCACTAACAACTTCCAACATTTAGACCAAAACAGAAAAATTAGATAGAATTTATAAATCAAAATAAAAAAGCAAATAGTTACTTAACATCAACTTGTTTGTTATTAAAATTTTCTAGTGCAAGCAATATTTAATGAAATATCTGAGTTAATATTCTACAAAACTAATCCCCTTTACCCATTATTCCACATAACAGCAATGACAATATTTATTGCTATTAAGACTTAAAGTGACACTGTAGGGCGGCACTGTAAGGGCTTTCTTTTCATTTAAGTTGTTATAGTGTCTGGAGCCCCCTGATGCCATTCTTCCATTCAGTGTTAAAATGTTTCAATACTAAATGAGAGTCCCCAGCAACCCATCCCCTGTGTGCTGCTCAGACTAATGATAAAGGTGGTGATTGATTGAGAGTGTCAGCTGACTACATTCAGCCTATCACATGCACTGTTACTGTTATTATTATGATTATTAGCATTACTTATATTATGGCGTTACTACGGCTACAGGGAAATGTGTAATCTCTGCCTGAGCCAAACCTCTAGTGAGGCTGTGGGTAGCCAGGGACTCTCATTCAGTGTTAAACTGCCTAAAATGGTTTAAAACTGAATGAAGGAACAGTTCCAGAGGACTCCAGACACTATAACCAATTCAATGTTATGAAATTATAGTGCCTAGAATGTCCCTTTAATTAAATATTTTCAACTGATTTATACGAAAATTCTTATAATAGTATTAAATCAAGCCTGTATGCTAACCGCTTAAAATACTGTGGCACATTTCCATAAATATTTAAATTCAAGAGGCTTGCATGTATTTGATTATCCTTATACTATCTCAGAATAACATCCAAGAGTAAACCTACTTTTTGTTGACAAGGGAACTAATGTTCACATTCTATACCAGTCATCCAATGCGCCTGCATACAGTGACATGTTTACCCATGACAACTGGCATACAGAGAAGGGGTCTAAAGATATCCCTAAATAGGTATTATTATAAGACGGCCATTAGTAATGTATTGCTGGGTCTTATCATGGCCGTACTTAATATGATAAGTAGAGAAAGATAGACTGACAAATCTAGCACAAAAGCAATGTGCTCAACAGAACTACATATAAAACAGACAGAGAGGGTAAAATGTCAAAGTTGTGCCATGAAGTATTGCCACAAATGTGACGTTTTGGGTAGTATTATGGGGTATATTTTGACATTTATATGCAATTTATGCATTTTCTCTTGTACAAACCTATTAACATTAAAGGTGGTCAGTTAGGATACATATTTTGTTTAGACTTACAAGTCACTATGTAGTGGATCTACCACATAATGTGGATAAACTCACATCAGACTTATTAACACTAAAGAAAAAGAGACTTTATGGTATATAAGAAGGTCCTTCCTACACCACTCTATTATCGATTAGAGTGCGAAACGCGTCATCAAGCACATCCACATTGAGGGGAAGGCATGGTTTATGCTGACTAGCCACAAGAGCTTGGCAACTTTGGACTGATTTAGAGCATTCTTGTTTTGTTTCATGGTGCTATTCGTTTTGCAAATAAATGATTACTTACCTGTACCCTCCTAACTCTATATACATCCCATTATGTGTGACAAGAAGGGAGTTTGCATATGGAATTCTGTGTTTGCTTTATATGGTTATATTGAGCATACAGACATGGTTGCCCCAGGAGTGCCCAACATAGGATTTGAACCTGAGAACTTTGCAGGCCTGGTCCAGCTTCCTACCTCTGAGCCACAACAGTTTTGTTTATTTCAAGCTATTCCAGTTATGTTCTTCCTGGTTTGTCTGCAGCAGTGGGGGCTGGTCCTTGTCAATAGCTGTGCTTCACCTGACCCTGATCAGTTATCAGCAGGGTATATAAACTCAGCATCACTCTGTGACCTGGATCAAATCTTTGATCCTGTTGTGTGTGTTCCATACTAGTGTTCCTGTCTTGTTATCATTTACCCTGACCTCTGGCATCCCTTGACTTCAGCTACTCCTCGTTGTTCCTGCCCTCTGGCATCCTTTGACCTTGGCTCTCCCTTGACAATCCTGCTGTTTGAGTCCTTGCCTGCAGAGATGTGCTCACCCCTGTCCCAGCAAGTGTCCAGCCTGGCCCAGACTATCTCGGAGCTGCAGCGATAAATTTTATTTCTTAAAGGCGCAGTACACCCAGCCCTGGAACCTGCTTATCCTGAACCGTTTGTCATCATGCCCGAGCGATTTGATGGTAGCCGCACGTCCTTTCAGTCCTTCAAGATGGATTGCGAGGTGTTTTCTTTAAAGCTTTGAACATATGCCACGGATTTCATCATGGTCCGAGCAGCTATCAACCTGTTGTCTGGACGCATCAAAGAATGGGCTCACCAAATGTTGCAGATGAAGAGTCCTGTCCTTGTCAGCTGGGAATTCTTCACTACTGCTATGGACTCGCAATGCAAGACCACTGTGCTCAAGCCATCTCCATGTACCAAAAGATCTCAGATTCTTCGAAACCAAGAAACCCAGTGCCACCACTACACCCCAGTGTTGCCTCCTTATGATCCAGTTCCTAGGAAAACTCCAGAAGTATCCTATGTTCCTCTTGACCCTGAGGAACCTATGCAAATAGGACTCGTCCACTGCAAAGTGATGGGTGAGGAAAGAGACCGGAGGAGAAGCCATGGTCTATGTTTCTATTGTGGAGAAAAAGGGCATTTCATCACACTTTGTCCTACTCGTCCTCCTAGGCTTCCAGCTCTCCGACTGGGTACTACTTTCCTTCACGCCTGCCTAAAAAGCTACATAGAAGCCGTCAGTCTTGCCCATGCTTGGCTTCCACGAGAGAACCTCCATCCCCTGCTCCAGAGCCGCTTGCATCTACTCCCGAAGTTACTAATACCATCACTACTTCCTGCCAGCCCAAAAAAGATTTACCTGTGGATTGTGCCTTTTCTTCTAATGGCACTATAGTCCGTACGGAAGATCTAGAAATGCTCGAAAAAGCATTGTTAGCCACGAACACCGCTACTGCTGAAGTAATGGAATTACTTCAGATCCTAAAAGACCTGGACTGTTCTCCGGCCGTACCAGAAGCTGGTACTAAGGAGTCCCAAGCTGAAAATGGATTCCACACTGGGGACTTTCTTGATTCAGATGGTGAACCTGAAGAGGTGTACTGTTATAACAAAGAACCTATTCACACCTGGAGGGCATTCTTGAAGGGGGGTACTATCACAGTTCTCAACAGAACATACAGATGGCCAGATGTTGACATCCCACGAGTGCCCAACAGGGGATTTGAACCAGGGAACTTCACAGTCCTGGTCCTGCTTCCTATCTCTGAGCACAGCAGCTTTATTTATTTTAAAGCTCTTCCAGTTCTGTTCTTCCTGGCTTGTCTGCAGCAGTGGGGCTGGTCCTTGACAATAGCTGACCCTGATCAGTTATCAGCAGGGTAAACTCAGCATTGCCCTGTGAACTGGATCAAGTCTTTGATCCTGTTGTGTGTGTGTGTGTGTGTTCTGTACCAGACTTGGGCACCCATGACCCTGACACTGGTTCACCAGTTCTCCTTCCTTGTGTCACTTTTGGTAGGTATTAACCACTGCATACCAGGAACACCCCACAAGACTAACCGCTTTGGAAATGCTCTGATCCCATCGTCTAGCCATCTTTCTTTGGCTCTTGTCAAAGTCGCTCAGATATTTTCAGTTGCCCATTTTTCCTGCTCTCAACACATGAAATTGAAGAGCTGACTTTTTCACAAAATTACCTGAAATCACAAGTTAAACATGACACTTCAGGCAAAACTTTACTTGTTCGGATGAGTAGACCCGCAGGAAATGCCATGTCATCAAAACGACATGTGACTGAGTAGATATACTGACTGTGAATGTGTTGACAACATGTTAAAAATTTTTATAATATGACAATAGTAGTAATTAATAGTAATACTAGTTGGATTTAACTGTAATTTGATCCTTATGATAAATTTTAAAGCATTTATACGAAAAAATGTAATGCCTAATAGGCAGACAAGAATTTGACTTAAAAAAAACAAACCTTTTGATCACCGTATAAAGTGCTAGGATATTCTAATTTTAGTGTTCTATATCATCGTTTTCTGGCATTACCTGTGCTCTAAAATAAATTGCGGTATAAAAATATAATTCAAAAGCAGCACTTAATGCAGCATTTAATGTCTTTTTTTTTTATACAGATGAATCAAGTCCAATTGTACCAGAACATACATAAAAAAAAAAAATATAACAAAAGAGGATTATTCATATAATAAATTGGTAAAAAAGTATTACTGTCATGGTGGGTTTTACTTTGATTTGCAAACAAAAGAAAACCTTTATGGAAACCTCATGGAAAATGAGCAGAATATAAGCATAGAAACCTATGCTTAGAGTGGCCGGGCTTAAAGCACTGTCTATAATAAGGAGAAATAGTGTTCGTGTTGGGAAAAGGATAGTGAATATAAGTCAAGGGATCCTACCATATGAACACTATGGGGACCTTCTTCACTGGTATTTTAGTCACATAGTTGCCTATGGGGCCAGAACGTTCACCTCAAGGTTTGGATTGACTGGTGGGGATGCCAAAAGAATAGATGGCAATGTAGGTGATTGTTAGTATGGGTGTGAGTGGTGGCATAAATATCTCAGAAGAAATACATGAGCAGACTTGATAGACTCTTGAGAATAAACCCCAATAAGCTATTGCTCCTAGGATTTCAAGAACATATAATGCCCATGATGTGGGACTTGTTTCTCAGACAGTATTCTTTTACTACATGTGTTTAATTTTTATTTTTTTCATTCAAAATTGTATTCACAAATGCCCTGCAATGTTACGCCTTGTTACTCTTTGTAGCTTCTCAATGCTGTTGGAGCACCACAAGAAAGCCTGTTTTCTTCGTGCACATTACAAAATAAATAATGCCCCAAAAAATAAAAATAAACCCATAATGCTCAAAAGTGCAAAAGAGATGTTTTCATCATTGGGATTCTAGCATGATTCTAGAACTTCATGGAAAGTGAGGTTCTTCTATCTTGGTGGGGGAAGTCAAGAGGATAAAAGCTGGTCATCTGAATATGGCCAGCTGGGAGAGTGCCTTTATATTTAATTGCATGATCACTCAGCAAGACTTAAAGGGACATTATAGTCACCAGAACAACTACAGCTTATTGTATTTGTTCTGGTGAGTAGAATCATTCCCTTAAGGATTTTTGCTGTAAACACTGTCTTTTCAGATAAAATGCAGTGTTTACATTACAGCCTAGTGATAACTTCACTGGCCACTTTTCACTCCACTGGCTGCCAGAGTTGCTTCCTGAATGGAGACACTGAACTTTCCTCATAGAGATGCATTGATTCAATGCATCTGTATGAGGAGATGCTGATTGGCCAGGGCTGTGCTTGACTTGTGCTGGCTCTGCTATTGATCTGATAGTCTCAGCCAATCCTATGGGAAAGCATTGTGATTGGCTCAGAGAACCATTTCTGATAATGTCAGCTAAACAGGCAGATCAGGGGCAAGGACAGCAGCCGCAGACATGAATATAAGTAAGATTTTACTATATTGAGGGGGCCTAGATGGCGGTTTTAACACTATAGGGTTAGGAATACATTTTTGTGTTCCTGACCTTATAGTGTTCCTTTAAATTGAACAGACCAGCCAGATACCTCACTGGATTCTTGTTTGGGAAGAGCAAACAAACCAAGAAGTAAGTATTCCTGTCATGCTTCTTGTAAAGGGGAACAGTTACTTCCAAGAATTTTCACTAGTACACTTACATTCCTTTATAATTAATAAATATGTATGTATGAGGTGTGAAAAATCAAATCAAATGTTGAGATCGACATTATTATACAACTGGTACCTCCATGTCAATCATTGTTATATAAGCTCTGTCTTGTCAGCATAGAGGAAGCATGCAGGAAAGAGGAGAAATTAAAAAAAAAAATACATTTTTTTTTCCTCCAGATTTTGCCCTGGTTTTACTTCCTTATCTGAACTGGATTATGACATAGTTTGCTAAATCTGTCACATAAATATAATATAATGTTTAATATAAATATATATTTAAATAAAATAGAGGTCCTCATGAAAAAAGGTTAATGCAAATTATAGGTGATTTTCAATGTTTTATTCATTGGTATAAAATTCCAGAGTGGTGACAGTTTCCCTTAAGCAGTTAATGATTCATACTGCAGTAAAACCCCTGGGGACCTACATTATTAACGGTTAGGCCTTTACTGGCTAAGACGAGGTATATAAAGACTACTTAGGTCTCCCCTTCAGGTCGCATCAGATTAGATAAAAATAGACACAGAATATAAAATACAAACATTATATGTAGATATCAATCAAAAGTCCCAAATATCAGAAAGTTTTTATTTTTAATTATAATTCCATTACTTACACACTCTTTAACCAAATAATTTCAGGCTTGCTGAATAATATATTTGTAACATTATCATGGAGGTGGGAGTGGGTGCTTTCCAGTGTAAAATGCCCTATTGGGCACTATTGAGAAGGTCCCCCCTTCAAACTTGTAAAATACATTTTAAAAAATAAAGAGTTTTACTCATCTGGAATCCAGGGCCGGGCAAAGCTCCCGGTATTGATATCTGCGTCCCCTCTGACGTCACAGGGATCACTTGAACATAATCACAGGCTTTTCTATTGGCACGACTCTGAGCCAGGGAGGAAGTGGCAGAGTAAAGAGGTAAGGAGGGAGTTCTGAGCTGCCAAAGTCAGATATGGTGGATGTGCAATTAGTGCCAAATAAAAACAACTCTGGATGTTCAGTGTTTCAAGCAGAAACACTGTACATACAGACTCCTACCACCATGACCACTTCAAATCACTAACGTGGTCATGGTGGTTGGAGTAACCCTTTATTGGAACACTAAGAAAACACAACAAATATCCTCCAGCCCCTACACCAATTGCAGAGATCCAGAGCTAAAGAGCTCCACATTTGCAGTACAGATAGGAATGGAAGCTGATAGAAAGCTGGTAGGCTGGATGCTGAAGGTAACAAAGGAAGTGCAGGTTCATGGCGCATAACAACTAAAATAATCTATCATTGGGATTGTTTTAGTTCTTGATTTTATTTTTGGTTATATTTGCCTTCCCAAAGTCAGTCCTCTTTCAACCTTTTCACTGCTGTTATCTAAGCTGTATTTATCTGATTAGCAGGCATTTAACTCACCTAGTATTATGTCCTAGTCCTAGTGTGATGTAATAATTACCAAGTCTTTATATATGATAGATAATTACTGGTGTGGTATGGCTTCATGTAAGCGGCAGAATCCTAGAATGTATTCACAGACTACATGAGCTCTGAGAGAAAAAACATTCCTTACTTAGTAACATGTTAACTTAATTGTTATCACTTTTTGCATAATGCTCATAAATGTTAGTGTATTTGCATGCAATAAACACATTTCAGTTCTCTTCGCTGCTTCTGTTCAGGCTCCAATTCAGGCATAAGGACAGAGATGATAAAAATTTTTATTTTTTTAAATTGCTAGTCAAATATCAAATAGTCAAATTGCTAGTCAAATATCATCCCTGCAGCCTGGAAACCCCCAAGCGACACTATTTCAAGGTCTGCTGACCACCACAACTCAATTGGTTGTTGTGAGTATGGCTTCAGAACTAATGGTGCTACAGAAGGCTAGGTTCTGTGGCATTTCTGTTGTTTCCTTCAAAAATAAAATAATAAACCTGATACACATAATAATCTACACTTAGACATCATAAAACTACTATAAATTTCACAAAACTTATCTGTGTCTGATTAACTGTCTCCCTTAAAATAGATTTTCTTAGACCCTATCAGTGGCGTACACAAAATCCATGGGGCCCCGGTGCGAAACTGATCCATCCCCCCACCCCTCCAACAGACAC